TTAGCAGTCCTGTTTTTGGGAAGAAAAATTCACAGTAAGAAGTCCTGAAGCTCTCAGAGTGATGCTACATTAGAGCCTGGTGCTGCCTTACAATGGCTTTCAAGTTCATGTGCAGATTTTCCTTTGCAAAGTTACCAGAACATGCCACAAATCCCAGTTATGCCTGAGTTTCCTAGACCTCGAGAGCCACTTCTGCTAATATTTGCTGGCTGTTGGGATCTTGCTTCTTTTGAAATTCTGTTAAAGATGAGGCTAATAATCTCCTGCAGCTTGTCTGTCACAGCGTTTGGTATCAACTTAATTATGCAAATGTACAATTCCAGAATAATGCGGGATCCAGGCCAAGCCTCTTTTAATTAGATGTTTGGGTGTATTATTCTGCATCTCAGGAAGGTTGTCTTCAGGAAAGGGAGTAATTAGAAGCCCTCACCGTGCGTGGGTCTGGCTTGTTCCTTAGGCTGGAGCTTGGCCTCGCTGGCGAGGTCACTGCCTCCTGGGGACTCCTCTCATTAGCACTCGGCAGGGTGCAGTCATGCCCGGCTCTGCCGCTGGCCTTCCAAGAATTCTGCTTTGAGTCGCCTTCAACAATGCTAAGCGTAAGCTGATTAAACAAACACTTCACTGGACCATGCAAGTCTTGGGTTTATTTAGATCTGCCTGTTTTCCTTTTCTGGAAAATTTTTAATTGAAATGTAATGTATATAAAAGTTGCTGGGTTAAATCTCTCAGAAATGCATCCTTGAAGCTGGGCACTTTAATTCTCACGTAGCAGGCTGACTTCCCCCTCATCCCACTCTGATCTGTGGAAGTGGATTGACACTGGGGGCGGGGCAGAGGGATCCTGGAGATGCCATCTTGGGTCAGTGCTGGATGTTGGCTCTTCAAAGTCAAGACACCACAGGAAAAGCTGAGAGAGTTGGGATTGTTCAGTCTCAGGAAGGCTGAGAGGGGATCAAATCAGTGTCTATAAGGGACTGAAGGGAGGGTGAGAGAGAATGGACCAGGCTCTGCTCTGTGGTGTGAAGCAATAGGACAAGAGGCAATGGCAGAAACTGATGGCCAAAGTCGCACCTGAATGTGAGGAAGAGCTTCTCCACTGTGCAGTGACCCAGCACTGGATCAGGTTGCCCAGAGAGGGTGTGGAGTCTCCCCTCACCAGAGATATTCCAGAACCCTCTGGACACAATCCCATGCCATGTGCTCTGGGCTGATCCTGCCTGAGCAGGGAGGTTGGAGCAGATGCCCCACAGTGGTCCTTCCCACCTGACCCATTCTGAGATCTTTGTTACCAATGCTTTGTTACAAAATACTTGTTTCTGCTATAATCTCCAATTGGCTCATTACATTTAGTGGGTCTTGGTTTGGCTGCATGGAGTATCTTTGGTTAGTTTTTTTTTAAGTATTTTAGACAAACTGAAAACTGAGGAAAAATGGAACTGTCTGCAGGTGCTCTGTAACTGGCTGAGCACACATAACCTGCCTTTGGTGAGAGGTGAGTATGAAAACCACCCAAGGCCGTGCAGTGCCTTTCCACAACGTATTTGTTCCTACTCGGAAGCTCATCTCCGTGTCTCAGTGCCGCTTTCAGCCCTGCCCTTGCCCCAAAGCCTGGGTCACAGGAGGATACCTTTGTTTTCCTCTGTCACTGCCGTCACCAGTCGCGCAGGGAGATGTGGTTCAATCCCGGCTGTGCCGAGGATCCCTGTTCCTGTTGCTGGGAGCCGTGGCTCAGAGCAGCCTCTGTCACTTCACTCTGTATCTCCTGCGAGCCTCGGAGCTCTCCCTCGTCCCACAGCTCCCGGCAGGAGCCACAGCCTCTGCCCAGCCGTGCTCTCCTCTCCTCTCCTCTCCTCCCCTTCCCTCCTTGTGTCTGTGCGCTTCTGTCCGCGCTCACCGTGGGTGAGAACCCCGGGATTGATTCGGGGCTCTCGTGTGCTGGTAAAGTCTCCCCTCCAACCCGTGCTTCCAAATTAAAACTCCACAGCCTCTTCTTGTTCGGTCTCAAGGCAGTTCATTGCTGGTTATCTAAAGATTGTCTTCGCCTGCTGCGGCTGCTTTGGTCAGCGGCCCAGGCAGAGACACACACTCGCCTGACACCCTCACTGTCCGGTGTCTTCGTCTTCTCTCCCCCCACCCAAGGCTGCTGCTCTCTTTTATATGATATATTACGTGTTATATGTTTACAGATTTTCCCCAATACCTACTACCTATGTTACAATGTGCTTTTCTACTCTAAACCAATCCATGAGTGCCAGCATCACCAAGAACATGGAGGCAAGGAAGAAGAAGGAGGAAGAACAGGATCAGGCCCACTTTCCTCCATCTTAGAACTCCTGACCCCCCTGTACAAAGTAAAACCCCCCTGTACAGGTGTTAAAACCCCCCTGTACAATACTAAAAAATTTCCCCTCTAATTTGTAATTACTTCTACTATACCATCCAACCCTCTGTGACCGCTTGTTCCACCTTCAAAGTTGGTAACTCATTCCATGGCTCAAACTCAAAATCCCAGCTGTTTTCAGCTGCTTGCCAGGGTCTCAAATGCTTCTGACCAAGGCCTGGAACCTCTGAAAATGTCTGAGGGACATTTTGAGTTCCAACAACCATGTGGGGAGGAGCTCTCTGCATTTCCTGCCTGCTGACAGACCCCGGCTGGATTATTCCTTTCTGATAGTTGGCTAAAAAAAAGAAGAAATAAGAATAGCTCGGGAAAGAAGTCTACTTAAATCAATGTAGTAAGTTAGATGGGGTTTTGGTATTTTGGTCATTGGGCCTTTAGTTCCTCCAAAGTGGTGATGAATTGGAGTCACAGGTTTTGAAGCCAGAGACGACCTCTGAAAAGATTTTTGTATTCAAGTAAGGCCTTAATCTTGATTTTTATCTCAGTACTGTGTATGATGTATACAATTGTCATCTATAGCGGGTTAATTTATTAGTTTTGTCCTTGTTATAGGCAGAGCTTGAGATTGGGGTAAAACAAAAAAAAAAGTTTTTAAAAGAAATTAGGAAGCCTGAGTCATGTATTAATGAGGCCTTCTCCCAAGGTGCTTAGGTAATACATTCTCAGTCTCTCTCAAATTAATCACGTTCTAATAATCCTTGTAAAGTACCTTCCTTACAGATGTTGCTCTAACTTATTAAATCCTGTGATGCATCATCAGTTTTGGTGGTATCAGCTGGAGCAAAGGGCCGAACAGTGCAGAGGACTAGGCACACCTTAGGAACTGATTATGAAAAGGAATTTTTAATTATCCTGCTGTGTCTTTCCACTGTAGAATTTTACACTTCCAGCAGACAGATTTCTCTGAGGTTTCATACCATAAAGTGTTTATTAGTTGTTTATGTTTGGACTTTTGTGCAGGGCTTACCGGTGTTTGCATTAGTGCCAGTTCATATTTGTCTTGCTCTTACACACAGCTGGAGTGCCCCAGCAGCTTCCTGTATGTTCTGCTGTGTTACCAGTCATGTGGGAATGGGGCCCCAGTTTTTTTGAGTCCCATATCAGAATTGTTCACCCCTCCTCCCCTCAGCAAAGTGACTTTTCACATTCGATTGAACTGCTATTTTCCTAATCTCTTGAAGAAATCTTTCTTGGCGCGTTCAGTAGGTCACTATGAAAAATGTGCTTTTCCATTTGGCAGGCAGACTGGGAAGCTGGGGGAAGGGGAAGCAGAGAGGAAGACAAGGACTCATTCTGTTCAGGGATCAGAGTGAAATCAGCACTTTGCTTTCCTTAGAAGATCCAGCAAAAGCCAGCACTTTGTTCTGGTGGCAGCCATCCCTTTTCCCCTGAGACCCACAGTGGATGAAGGGTTTTGGCTCACCAGGCTGCAGCAGTGAGGGCCATTGCACCCAGGCTTTATCCCAAGGTTTGGGGGCAGCAGACAGGAGATGAAAGGAGGGCATGAGGATACCCTTGTCCGAGGCTGAGGAGCCTGGTTTGAGGCCTTCCCCAAGGACATTGAGTCGTCAGAGCAAGTGAAAAGAGGAACAGGAGGGTTTGGCTGGGTGGTGGGGCTGCCCCCCTCTGAGGGAGAGGGTCAGGCAAAGGCTGAGCTTCAGCTGCTCTCATGCTCCTTGCAGGAGGACTGGTGGGTTCTCCTGACCCAGAGCTGCTGGAGAGCTGAGAACCAGCCCTAAAACTGTTCTCCAGGCAGCTTCATCAGGTGGAGTTTCAGAGCTGAGATTTTTTCCCTGTCTCACCCCTGCAAGCACAGAAGAAACACGTGGTGGAGGGTTCAGAATTTAACCCTTTTTGTGAGTAAGGCTCAGGTTTTTGGCTGTTGTAAAAACAGGAGAGGTGGTGCATACCTTTAGCAGCCTCCGTGGAAGGCACTCGCACATCTGGAAAACTATTTGGCTCCCCCAGCCACAGTGGGGGCTGGAGAGGGCCAAGGTTTCTGCATCACTCCCTAAGCAGCCCTTACTCTCCACTTGCTCCGCAAGGTTTCACATCCCCAGTCCTCTGTCACCTTCACCACAGAGCTGCAGCTGCCCCCGGATGTTCTCCAGCAGATTGGAGCAGGGCTGGGGCTGAGAGCTGCCCCAGCCAGCAGCGATGGCACTGCAGGAGGAAAGGCTCCCCTTGCTGCTGCTCACTGCCCGGAGAGGGAGCAGTGTGCAGGGGCAGCAATGGGGGTCCTGCCACCAGGGAGGAGGGAAGTGGGGCAGGCACTGAGCTGTGCTGCAGCAGCAGCCCCAGGATCTTCACCTGGGGTGGGAACAGGGGAACTGCTCCTGGGAGCTGCTTCCAGCCACAAACCAAACCCTGATGAATTTACTGACTTCCAGGGTTTTCCTGTCCCGGCAAATTCCCCTGTTCTTCACAGGCAGGAAGGCAGATGACTGCCTGCCCCTGCCCTGTAGCAAGGAGTTGATGAATCATTTCCTTTTCCATATTTTAGTGAAATTATGTTGTTCAGAGCTCATCTAGAGCATTTTAATGTTTTGAGCACTTGCACTCTTCACTCTCTTCCTGCAATTGTCTGAAGGCTGGATTTTTTTTTGTCTCCTTCCCAGCAGCAGTTGTTACTTGCTTGAGGCATTGCAGGTGGGTGCAAAATAACCTTTTTATCACTTTCTAGACAGTTTTTAAAAATTTTTATTGTACATAGGTGTCAGTGTATCCTTTAAAGCATGAATGTGATTTTCTACCAGTGAGAGAGATCTCCCTAAAGGAAACCAAGGCACTGTTGCTTATACCTTTAGACCTTGGAGATTTTACTTAGTTGACTATAAAGTTAGGGTCATATTAAAAAAATAGTTCAGAATTTTGAATAACAGACTTATTAATGCTGGGATTTCTTAACAGTGAAACACTGCTTTGTGTGTTTGGCTGTTTGAGAAGGAAGTTGGCATGTCAGCAGAGACAAATGTGCTGCCCTTAATTAGATGGAGCTGGACACATCACCAGAGGCCTCAGTTTTGATTTAAATACTGGCTACAGTGGGGGCAGCTCTGTATAGGAAGTGGATTTGGCTTGACCTGTATTGTGCTGCTGCTGGGCTGGCAAACAGGGAGATGAAGGGGCAGTGTGATTTATTGTCCACACTAGAAGAGACCTGGAAAACAGTGTATTTTCAGCATTCCTATTGTAGCTTATGCAGTAAGCTAAGTATCAACAGGTAAACCCAAGGAACAAGAAAAAAAAAATCCTTGGACTTTGATTAAGGCTGCTGATTACATGGGTATCTCAGGAAAAAAAAAAAAAATAAAGGAGGAAAAAACAGCAAAGGGGGCACTGAAACTGGGAAGCCTGGTATCCAGCTTTTATGGGTGATGTACAATAACTGGTTTTCTGGCAGTGAGGCAGCAAGTTACACACGTTGTGAAGGGTGTAATTATGAGTTGAGCCTTTTTCCCAAAGCTCCTCTTTCCTGATTTATATCTGCCCTTATTGTTATCTGTTATATTCACATGGTTGGGCTTTTTTCTTTTGTTATTTTGTTTTCCTTCCTTGTTTTCAAAGAATAGCTTATCGGTGTGCCCCAGCAGGGTGGGACTCACAGAGATCACAGGCTTTCTACAATGAGCCAAAGCCAGCCTGCTGACTACAAGGAAATTTGCTGAGGGTGTCAGCCACGAGTGCCACATGGGCTTTGCAAAAGGCACTGATTGCACTGGTGGGACTCGGCTGGAGTCCGGAGCGGCCACTTCCACTGCCAGGAGAGCGGTGAGCATCTCCTCAGCCTGGAAAATCGCTGCTTGTGTTCCAGTGCTGTGCATCTCCGCGGGGCTGTGTCGTGGCCGGCAGGAGCAGCGGATGCAGTGCTGCTCCTGCACACTTGGCCCGCAGGTAGGCAGTGACCAGAGCTCCAGAGCCGGGAGGGAGCTGGAGCCGAGCTCCGCTGGGATGTGAGCTGGGACAGCTCTCGGCACCTGCACCTCTGCACCTTCGCTCTGCTTCAGCTGCTTGCTGCAAAGCCTGTAGGAGCCCCAACTCGTTCTGTTCAAGGCTGAGAGTACACCCGTGCGCTCCCGAGGCAAAGAGTAAAAGGAAGGCACCAATTCGTCTGTTTTAATCTTTTGCCTGGAGTCTTTGCAATGGATGATGGAGCAGAGTCTCTGATGACTGTGCATCTGCTCACCCGTTTGGGGCACTCATTTCCTCTGCAGCAGACTCTGGATCGGCTTTTGGACTGGCTGTGCCTGGACATTCGCCTTTTCTTGGTGTCTGAGCGAATTCCTCCCCTGAGGTACTACGAGAGATACCGCAAGAAGAGCTGCAGCTTTCCTGGAATATCCGTCCTGCTTTTTCTGCGCGAGGACTTGGGAGAAGAACGGATTTTCCAGGTCCACGAGCAATTCCAGCGCCCTCCCTGGCGGTACCAGCGTGCCCGGTTTGCTAACGGGCAGAGCCCCCCCTGTGCCCCATCCCACCAGGACTTCTACGGCCTGGATGAGCAGCTGCCCGTGTGGGGCATCCGCCGGGTGCACTGCGGCCCCGAAATCCTGCGGGTCACCCTCTACTGCAGCTTTGAGAACTACGAGGATGCCGTGAGGCTCTACGAGATGATCCTCCAGAAGGAAGCCACCCTGCAGAAAAGCACTCTGTGTGTCTTCGTGCTGCACGCCACCCCACTCGTGGCCGTGCAGCTGTGCCTGGAGCAGCTGCCCATGGGGGTGACGGCCGAGCCCCCCGACTCAGCCCTGCAGTTCAAGGTGCAGGAAATCGGGCAGCTGGTGCCCCTCCTGCCCAACCCCTGCGTTCCCATCAGCAGCACCAGGTGGCAAACTCAGGACTATGAAGGAAATACAATTCTGCTCAAGGTATGTCTGTGGTGCTCTCAAGAGGAGGGTTTATCCACGTTTTTCCAAGGAAAGCAGGACTGGTTCAAAATGGAAATTATGATTTTGTTTGTTCATGTTTCTTTTGAATTTGTGAATGCAGTAATCGGTGTCTGCCAGTGCTGTGATGCTGTTGATAAATATAAGCACTGATCCTTGGAATGTTTTTATACAGTTAAATTAACGTCATTACTGCTTGCCTGAAATGCAGATTATTAATGATTTCTAGGGCGCACTAGCTTAACATCTTCCCTCCTCTGCCTCAAAAAAATGATTGTAGCAGCCTAATCTTTTTCTGATAAGACATTGCTGTGTAAATATTTTTCAAAGCAGATTTTTGGCATCCAAACCCAGAAGTTTTGTAAGTGTAATGTTGATGCAGCACTGCCTGCAAATGAGGTTGTGAGATCACAAGTGAGTTGTAGTTGGGCAAAAGTGACAAAGAGATGTGTCCTAGGAAATCTCTGCCTTGTCTATTGAAGTGTGCAGTCCAGAGGTTCTATGAATACAAATTTAAAAAAAAAAAAAAAAAAAAAAAAAAAAAAAAAAAAAAAGACAAAGTCTGGGGTAAGATCATATGTAGTGGCTATTACACATGTGAGTAGAATGAAAGCTTGGCTCAGTGTGCTTTCTTTCCATCCTAATACAGAAATCCTCTGTTAGAGGTAAAGTTAATTACTTGGTTCAGCCTATTTGTACACTGCTCTGAACACTAATCTTAGGGCAGCCCTTCCTGCCTCATCCAATATCAATTTATAAACTGGCTTTTACCCTCTTGGAGTGGTCAAGGCCCTGGGTATCTTCATGTAGCTTTGAAGATGGTCCTACCTGCAGCAGGGGACTGGGCCAGTTGACCTCTAAAGGTCCCTTCCTAAATTACTCTGTGGCTCTTCCTGCTGTAGATACAAGGTCTTTGAGCTGACAGATATACATTAATTCACTGGTAGGAAACTTGGAAGCTTTTTTGGGGATGTGACCATGCTGCACTGTGCTTCTAGCAAAGGAAGGTTGTAATCCACTTGAATTTGAGGATGTATCTCATGTCCAAGCTGCAGACAGCAGGCTGACAGCCAATGCTATGTTCTGCAACTCTTCAGCCCATACTGTAAATCTTTGGTTTGAGTACCTGCAATTTACCTCCCTGCCCTGACCTTCTGCCATATTGCAAACTAAATCCCAGGCTCTGCTCACAGACTCCACACGGAGTTGGCATTCCCCCCCCTGAAGCCCCTTGTGGTAACTGGCAGTGGCTCTCCTTTCCAAGTGTTTATCTAGGTTGCCCTGGCATGCATGTGGATTTTTTTGTATCCACAACCTGCTTTGGCTGGGACTTGCCCAGGTGTGCTGACTCAGGCTGCGAGTGACCCCAGCCCAGCGGGGCTGGGCGCGAGTACCGTCATTAGCCAAGCTCGGAGTGTGTGATAACCGGGTTCTCTCTAATTCCCAACAGGTTCAAAGCAGCTCCAGGACCCTTGAAAGAAACACCGGGCTTTGCCAGCAGCATACCAAGGCGGGCAGTGGAAGAACCCCGCAGGACTGTATGCCAGCCCCGCGGCCTGTAACACAGGGCAATCCCGGGCGGGGAAGGCGGGATGTCGGAGCTCGGGAGGGTAACGCGCAGTGTGAGCCCGGTGAAGCGCTTGTCCCTGCGCGGGGCAGCAGTGACCTCCAGAGGCTCCTGCGCTGCCCTCCCGGTGCCGCGGCCGCCCGGCCGTGCCGGGAGGCGCCGTCGCTCCGCCGGCGGGCGGGCGGGGGGCTGCGGGCTCCTCTGCCGGAGAGCCGCGGGTCCCGCACCGCCGAGACCGGCACGGACACCGGGCCCGCCGCGGGGAGCGCGGGGTGCGGCCGCTGCCCGCCGGGCCGGGGCCCCGGGGCCCCGCGGAGCCGCCTCCTGCCGCGGGCCGCCCCCGCCCCGGGGACAGCGGGGCCCGAGCTGCGGGAGTTCTTCATATGACTGAAACCCAACGCGCCTGATGGACTCCCCTTGCCCAAGGACAGCGGAGCGCTTTCCGATGTGCCGGGGCTGCTGCTGCTGCTGCTCAGCGCGTACCTCTGTCGCTGTGACATCCCGCCAGGCGTCACTGAGGCAGACACTGAATTTCCATGGAGAGATGCTAAGGAGGCTGCAGGAAAAAGAACACTATTTACAGAAAACTGTTGTGTTGGTTTGTTTGTTTTTAACGCAGAATAGGTGAAGGGTATGTTGTGCAATGAATAGGAATAAGCCGAGTGACGCCTACAGCTGTTCTAAGAAGCTAAAAAATAGACAGTGACATCTTCAGATGGGTTTTGAAGGTGCAGCTTGGCTGAGCTGCCCAAGCAGCTGGATGCCCCCAGCCGTGGGGACTCACCATCCCTTACTCACCATCACTTACTGCAACAAGCTCCTGGCATGGTCACAGTGGGCCTGCTGGTTTTCCTTTGTGTTCCTTCTTGCTTTCCTTGTTGGTAATTAAATCTATCAATGTTGTCAATTTTATGCAATATTTGAAACATAAGAATATTCTGTTAAATATTTCTCAGGAGAAATATTTCTAGCAAGATCTTTTTCTCAACTCAGCACAGCACATGCAAAAACCACATACTTGAAGAGAAGTGCCAGTAAAACCTGCCGCTGCCTATTCATGTGACACTTAAAATAAACAGCAACAGGCCAGGCTTTGTTAAACCAGTGTGCAATTAGCAGGAAATCCTAGCTGGGTTTTAATTAACAGAAGACAAGAGAAGTTGAGAGTCTTGGAGGGAATTGCTAAATCTTCAGGAGTAAAAAGGACGGGAGAAATGAAATCATGATTCAGCATCAACAGATGCTGAAATAACTCCCATCTTGATCAGTTTTCTTTCTCAAGTAGGATTAAATAAATCTCAGTGGGAAAGAGATGGGAAGAATATGAAGAAGGAGTGAAATTATTCAAAGAAAAGCCATATCTGGTCGTACTTACCTTCCAAACAGTACAACAAAGAGGTATTTTCTCCCTTAAATATATCTGAATTCTGGAAGGGATATGGGGAGGTCCCTGCTCTGGGCCCTTCCTGCTGGTTCTGCCCTGCCAAGTAATGCTCATGAACTCTTCAATTTGGGGACCAAAACCTACAGAGCAGGACACTTCATTCACTGGACACTTACAAACATCCCCCAGGTTTTCACAAGACCTGCAAAAATTGTGGCCTTTCTAATGAATCCTGCTGTGATATGTTACATCTACGAGGGTGATTATTCAATCTGTCCTAGAAACTCAGCAGGGCTTTTCAGAGCTGGAGGAAATGTCTGGTCAATAGGGAAGCAGGCAAAAGGAGCCTGCAGGGGCTGGCTCCCCGGGCTGCTGTGGTGTGTGCAGGGGTGGGCTGGAGGCTCTTGGGGACAGGAGGGGCTCAGAGCAGGGCAGTGCTCTCTGAACACGAGGGTACAGACCTGCACTGGGCATGGATGGGATAATCATGAGCTTGGGAATAAAGGCAGAAGTGGGATTCCTGGGAGAAACAGCTTTAAAGAGAGATTTCATGGCCTTCTCTCTACTCTCCTGTGCCAAAGGTACTTGAGTGTGACTATTTAGCATAATCTTATTTCACCTAAAAGAAAGAGGCAGAAGGTCAGTATCTAGCCTGGGGAAAATGCTTCTTCATTTGGACCAAAAAAGGGACAAGTTCCTCCTGCCTGCAACAAATCATGGAAAAGGGCTTCGAGACAAAGGAAAATGGCTCTGAAAATACTGCTTTTAACAGTGAGTATGTAAAATCAGTGCATTATAAGCACAGGATATATCTAGTACAAATTCTGTATTACACAAGCAGGTGTGCAGGGTGTGCTGGGTCAGAGCGCACAATTGTCCACGGACAGATTCAGTAGTGGAAGGCAAAGATTCACATTTTCCAGACTGTTCATATCTCTGCAGCCTCTATTTTATATTTCTTCCTTGCACACTGTGCCATTTCTTCAGGATTTTTAGAAAAATCTAATAAGGAGCACACAGGTTGGCAGGGTCTGCTGGAGGGCTGTGACCCAAACACCCTGAGAGGAGCTTCCTGGTGAGGAGCCCAAGAGAATAAATGCATGAGGTGTGTGGGGCTGGCAGCAAGCTCAGCCAGGGCTTCCCATCCTATGTGCTGGTCCCAGCAAAGCACACAGGGGAAAACAGCTTTGGTGGGAAACTGAAGAGGGAGTTTGACAAGTTATGCTGAGAGGATCGTGGCTGATTCCTTTGATGGGCAGCAGCCAAGATGGACAGTATTGATTAACACCCTCTAACCGAGATTCTAATTTTGAGGTGTGCACTTTTTTGGGGACGGTGAGATCCTGCTTTGTGTCAGGCAGTGCCATGCCCAGGAGTGGGGACATGGCCCTGGCACTGCTGTGAGCCACGGGGTGACCCTGTTCCCTGAGGGGGCAGAGATGCTGCCATGTACTCACTGGGGATAATGATGAACAGTCCTATCCAAAGTGAAAGGCTTTTCTCCTGGGTCACTGGCACAGTCTGGGTGATGGAGGGAGGAAATCTGTTCTTGCAGGAGCAGGGTGTGTGCTGAGAGAGCGAGCTGTGGGCACTGGGGTCACAAAAAGCAGGAGAACTTGCTCTCGGGTCACTTTAACACAACCTGAAGGGACGAGTGCTGTTGCTTTGTTTGTTTGTTTGTTTGTTTTTCATTTTTTGGGGGGGTTTTTTTGGGTGTTTTTTTTTTTTTTTTAGCCCCTGGAAACAGAAATTGTGTCTTTTGTCTCCTCTGAAGGAGGAGTGGTATTTCTGAGGGATGAGTTGCCCTGGAGCAGTGGGGGCACTCCCTGATGCCTGGATATGAGCACAAAGGCAGGGGGTGCTCCCTTGCTCCCCACTGGTGCCATGGTGTGGGCAGGCAGCCAGGAAACCCCTGCCATGGTCAGTGAGATCACAGCCAAGGCCTCTCATGTTAAAAAGAATCTGGCAGACTTGATTCTTTTGGGGAAGCAAATGCTGAAAGCAGTCTTCTTTCCTGAATTCTGGGCCAAATTCAGCTTTCATGAATGCCTTGGTAAATCCTGAGGCAGTTCTGTGAGTGCAGCTGAGATTCCCAAATTTACACTGGGGTGCGACTTTTATTCTCTTCACCTGTGTTGGTGCCATGTTCTGCACCCAGTACAAATAAAGCTGCACAGTCACTTGGTAGGGGAAAACAGATGTTTCAGAAACCTCATGTTTGTAACGGGAACAGAACCAGAAATTGTCTCGTTTGCTGAAGATGAGCGTGGCAGCTCCAGCCCTGCACGGGCTGTGTGTAATCGGGACCACTGGTACCTGCGCAGGGCAGGGGCAGTGACGGTCACCTCCTCTATTGTCACCTCTTGGGTTTTGCAGATCTTCCAGATTATTGCTGTTACGATTATTTTTCGTGTTATCGCTGTTATTATTGTTGATGTTATTATAGTTGCGCTTGTTGGGTGTCTGTTGTCCCGGTGTGTCGCGGCTGCGCTGGGCGGGGTGCGGGCACTGCGGGGCCGGTCCCGCCTGTCCCTGTCACACCAGCACCGCCTGGTGCCCGCACACGGCGTCCTGCCCGTGTGTGTCCCTGTCCCTCTCCCGGCCGTGTGTCCCTGTCCCCCTCGGGCTCCCTCTCCTCTCCTCTCCTCTCCTCTCCTCTCCTCTCCTCTCCTCTCCTCTCCTCTCCTCTCCTCTCCTCTCCTCTCCTCTCCTCTCCTCTCCTCTCCTCTCCTCTCCTCTCCTCTCCTCTCCTCTCCTCTCCTCTCCTCTCCTCTCCTCTCCTCTCCTCTCCTCTCCTCTCCTCTCCTCTCCTCTCCTCTCCTCTCCTCTCCTCTCCTCTCCTCTCCTCTCCTCTCCTCTCCTCTCCTCTCCTCTCCTCTCCTCTCCTCTCCTCTCCTCTCCTCTCCTCTCCTCTCCTCTCCTCTCCTCTCCTCTCCTCTCCTCTCCTCTCCTCTCCTCTCCTCTCCTCTCCTCTCCTCTCCTCTCCTCTCCTCTCCTCTCCTCTCCTCTCCTCTCCTCTCCTCTCCTCTCCTCTCCTCCTCTCCTCTCCTCTCCTCTCCTCTCCTCTCCTCTCCTCTCCTCTCCTCTCCTCTCCTCTCCTCTCCTCTCCTCTCCTCTCCTCTCCTCTCCTCTCCTCTCCTCTCCTCTCCTCTCCTCTCCTCTCCTCTCCTCTCCTCTCCTCTCCTCTCCTCTCCTCTCCTCTCCTCTCCTCTCCTCTCCTCTCCTCTCCTCTCCTCTCCTCTCCTCTCCTCTCCTCTCCTCTCCTCTCCTCTCCTCTCCTCTCCTCTCCTCTCCTCTCCTCTCCTCTCCTCTCCTCTCCTCTCCTCTCCTCTCCTCTCCTCTCCTCTCCTCTCCTCTCCTCTCCTCTCCTCTCCTCTCCTCTCCTCTCCTCTCCTCTCCTCTCCTCTCCTCTCCTCTCCTCTCCTCTCCTCTCCTCTCCTCTCGCTTTGCCTTTCTGCAGATCTCCAAGCTCAGCCGTGGTCCAGCATGTCTGAGCTGCTTATGGAGCCTCAGTCCCTGTCCCCATCCTTCCTGCTATTGAGGTTTTTAATCCTCACTTTCATGAACATAAAATTAACCTGATAGATGAGGAAGCAATAGAGGTACTAATAACAAAGAAAGCCCATTTCTTTCTCATTCATTAATTTTCTCTGACAGTGAAGTAGTTAATTAAGGAGATCAGTTATGTAAGTGACAAGGGAAAATAGAGTTCTTAATGTGTTTTATTATTTTGTGGCAGCCACAGTCCCTGATGCTGTGCAATGTCATGTGCAGTGGTTACTGTGCATCTGCTGTGTGTACAAAGAGTAGAAACAGTACTGACAAGCTTGTTATAAAAATGTTTTACTAAAAATAGTATGAATTCTCCCTTTTCATCAGTAGTTGAGCACTGAATGATCACTCTAGAACAGATGTGATGGAGCAGGGCAGGGATGAGGTGAGGAGTGGGACCTTTGCTTTGGAAGGACAGAGCAGGAGCAGATACAGAGCGTTGCAGGTCATGTCTGTTTTTCTGTGGGCCTTGCTTGCAAAGTGAATTTTGAAGCTCAAAGGCCCTGAGGCTTTGCTTTTCTCTAATCAGGAACAGGAAGCTTCTGTGGAAGCCAAAGTGAACCCAAAGGAGAGGTCTGGGCTGTGAGGGGGACACAGAGGGCCTGGGGTCTCCCTGTGGTACCCTGTATGTGTGTATGTGTGCACACATCCTTCTTTTCCCTCCCATCATTCCCTGTAGGTTGGCAATCAGGAGAAATCTCTGCAGCCCCTTTTGCCCGTGGTGCTGCTGACACTGCTCAGGGGAGGAAGGCCATTGCAGCCTGGAGCTCCCTGCCCGTCCTTCCTGGCACCCCCTGCACACAAACTCAGCGTGGCAGCAGCTGTTTGGGCCTGTGGTGATGTAAGACCTTGCTGCTGGATTTTGCTGAGTAAACCTCCAAATATTAGTCATGCCAGTCTGACAGGCCAGCTGGGGTGGGACATGCAGGAGTGGAGCACATACGTGTTAGGGCAGGGGGCTCAGGTGGGAGGGAGCTGCCCAGCCTGTGCATATTCCTATTGGAGCTCTGCTTTGCCCCCTTCTCAAGACAGTGTTTTCCTGCAAGGTTTGCCAGCACCTTTCTTTTGTCCTCAGGGAAGTGAAAACTCATTTTTCCTTCAGTCTTCAGGGCCCTGATGCAGTAAGTGTGAAGGCACATCCCTGTGCCAGGGTGCTGCTTGC